CCCACGTTTTGGGGCGGGGGGGGGGCTGCAGAGGGCAGAGAAGTGGCGGCACAGAGCTGGGTTCTGGGTTCTAAAACACTAATTACTATTGAAGTCTAGATTACCAGGCCTGTTGATCAATACCCCCATTTGTTAAATATAGGTACCATCTCCAAACCAATACATTTATTAAAAATTCTAGTTGCCTGATCTGAAATTTCACATGCCAACTACTTCTGGAGACACCAGGATTTCCATCCCAACCTGCAATGAACTCTTTGTACTCTGTTTTAATGTTCTATAGCTTGTATTATCCAAGATTATCTTTTCTTTCCTTGTCTTCATGATCAACATCATGATTTTTACTGTGATCAGATCTGAAGTTTTCACTTAGTTTTTGAGCTTTGCTTAGATTGTTAATCTATACCCCATTCTCACTGGCTTCACTTTTTCCCTTGTCCTTTTTATATACAGCTGAAAAAAGTTTTTGCTATTTGCTTTAATACCCTTTTTCAAGGTCTTGCTCAACTTGATTTTTTGCAATTATCACTTTATCATTCCTCTTCTTGATCTCCAAGATTGAACATTTTAACTTTGATCAAAAGTCACCCATGAAAAACCAGTTTAAGAAATCATTGTTAGTCTTCCATTCAGCCTCCAAAAACCCTCTCCATTGCATCTCATAGTATAGCACTACAAAAGATAATTGACTTCCTGGAAACTTCTGGTCCTCAGTGAGACAATGGTAGCCGAGTACAAATGGCATTACATGTGTTAGACACCTGTAGACCTTTTCAGAAGTGCTTTCCATTTCTTCAGTGATTCTCAACTAGGCTGCTGAGAGATCCTTGTAAGGGCACTGTGGGGTGTCCCATGATATTAGCAGATTTCAAACAGGAATCCATAGAATCCATAGTGTCAGAAACACATCTGACCCTCTATGACCTTTCCAAGTTCTTTGCAACAGAATAACTGTTATTTTTCCATGGTCAAGAAACAAGTGAAAGCTATGAGCTGGCATTTTCCAAGGGGTGCTTTGAATATAATAAGGGTGCCCCAAGTCTAACGAGGTTGAAAACCACTGCTTTAGAGTGTGAAGACAATATAATGTTATAGCACATGACTTTTTTCTAAAGCCAACAAATTTATTAGAAACCTGCAATGAGAGAGAGTCTCAGAAAACAAAAGCCCCAAATCAGTTGGGCAAGTTAAGAACTAGGAGATAATATTTTTTTTAAAGTAGCTTGTATTCAATTAATATATAACATGTAAAGATACCCGTTCTTGGATGTTCAAAGGCTTTGCTTACAGAAATACCCGAAGAGAAAAAATGAGCACTTTGTAACTATGTCAGTGAATAACACCTGGAAGACTCTTCAAAGAAGTCTTTCACAATCATGTTGAGAAGAGGACTTTAATGGTAGGAGTATGCAACCATGCAAAGAAATTTTGACAGGATGTTTAACCACCTTTTTGCTCAGATGCAGTGATACAAAATTAACATTAAAACAAGAGAACACTGAATTTAGGATACCACTATAAGCATTGTTTCATCCCTATAAAGCTGATACGAAGACAGCTTACTGAGTAAAAATCATTGTAAACACAGGTATAACTTTGCACATAAAAATCTAAAGTGCGCAGATGACGACTCAAAAGGTAATTTCATTTATTATATCAGATCCACACAAGTATACCATAATGCAGGGAGCTTTAAAATGCATCAACTTCTACTCAAGCTGTATATGAAGCAATAGAGAAACCTTAGCTAAACAAATAAGGAGATTTACCTGTAGACCTCGCTATCTGTACCATGCTGCAAGTCTCCCATTTACAAAGATATAAACGTCAGCTTCTTCAGAGGAATCTAAGAATTTCTAGCATCATAAAAAGTTGACATTCATTGTCTTATATAACTGTGAATGTAAGATTTTTACGTTAATATTGTAAAAAACTTTGATTGGGCTATGTTCTTTCTGAGATGAAGGAAAGGCAACTTAAACCTGGAATGTCTTTTTAGACACTTGCTCAGAGCCACCATACTCCTGGGTCCCTACAGTTCCAGTTCATGCTGTGAAAAAGATGATTTCGACTAGGAGAGGGGCCGGCTAAATAATCCTCTGATGTCAGACATGCAAATATATTCAACATACTAATCAATTCTTCAACAAGGGTGAGAACTATAGTTCTCTCTGTCAGCACAGGTTTACTAGAATCATGATGGTTTCTCCTGAATTTGGTCCATTTCTACTAGAGATACTGGTGGATGGATATACAGGTCATGCCTGACTATAGGTCATCTGAAGTCTGGACACGGATGCCCATGCTATAATAATCAGCTGGGTACCAGAAGAACAATAAAAATAGTTTTTTGTTCAAGTGGTAGACTCCTATGCTGGAGGATCATCTTACTAGCTTATGCCACCTTTTAGCATCATTCTCTGGGGTAAGTTCTTCAAACAGCACGTTCTGGGTATATGAAGTCTCTATGCGGGACACACCTGTTATCATCATGCACTGGCTTAAGTTCAATTCTAATGGGAAGTGCTGCACAAACTCTATTATTTGAAGGTCATCCATCACAAGGAATCAACTTAAGTCACTAGACAGTCTGCTTTCTTTGGCATTTCACAGCATTTAGTGACAAGTAAAAAGAATATTTACAGCACTGTCCAAGCAGTCCTTTGCTAGGACCCACAAACTGTTATCCTGGATTCAGGGCTGGATGCCAGAGTTGATCCATATCTAGAATTTCCATTTACTTCAACCGCCAGAAAGTCACAAGCCGCAATACAGGTTCCCATACAAGTCAGCACCATTGTACTAAAGTGCACTAAGCAACCTTACTGACATCTGACTTGTGACTCACACAAGAAGCAAGGTTTTGCAAGGGGGAGAGGTTGATGATTTCTTTGGAACAACTGTACAGTTGGGAAAGATGTCAGACAAGCTTTTCAGGCACGAGGCCCCCTTCTTCAAACCTGGGCCAGCCCAAAGCATGTCTAAAACCTTCCCAATTATACAGTTGCCCCAACAGAAGATATCACCAAAACAGCCCTTGTTCCTGGCATATTTCCTGGACCATCATTGCTACAACACTACTCCAAGCCTCACATGACTCATGACAGATGTGCCCAGCTAGGACACTGGGTGATTTATTGTTAACTCCAGTGCCGCGAAACTGATCCTCAAACATGCTCAGACTAGTCAGTCTTATTAGCCTGTGTGTAGAATAGACACAATAAAGCACCGCCACGGCAAAAATACGCTCTGTTTGGGCTCCAAACCAAAAGACAGACGGACCAAAGTCCTGTTCCCCTCTCACACATGTAAGATGCCCCTGTTACTGGGAATGATTCCCTACAAGCATTCACAGAACCACAGAAACGCAAGGTTGAAAGTGACCCTAGAGTTCATCTAGTCCAGTCCTTGAGCAGGGACTCAAGGCAGGATCATCCCCATCCAAGCCACCTACAGAAATCCATGTCTAACCTATTAGTAAAACTACACAGCCA